GGCTGGTTGATTCCCTCTCATGGCATATGAGCTGGGCTGCAGCCCAGGTCCCCAGTTGGGGGCATGCAAGAGGGAAGGAATCCATGCTTCTCTCCCTCTCTTTCTTCCTCCCTTCCCCTCTTTCTAAAAATAAAGAAATAAAATCTTTTCTAAAAAGAGATTATGTTTGAAGACTTATTCACCATGACAGGCATTATAGTCCACTCAAAAAGAGTAACATTTTGTTCCTGGAAGTGCCACTTGGAATTAAATAAACAACACAAAACAAATCATTATCTGCACTAACAGTAATTCTAAATTCTCAAAAAAACACCTTCAGAGAAAAACAGACTGAAAAGATATTTATTTTTATGTTGTAACTCTGCTTTCTTTACCATGGATACCCTGCATACTTTCTTTTCTAAAGCCATTTGCACACATCCAGCCACACTCCAAAGTTCACATATTCTGCAGGCACACTCATTCTTTTTAAACATCCTACTACGAACTATTTCCCCAGGTAGCTTTAGAAATCTGCACTATTATTTTTAGTCATTTTTCATACACACAGCTGAATACTAACAGGCATATGAGCCCAACAGATGTTCCTAACAGATGTTCCTATACTGCTATAAGTAAGACAACTAAGCCAGCATACTACTTCATTTTTACACTAAAATTAATAAGGTAATGTGAAAGGCCGTGTGATCTGGCAAAAATAGTGAGTAGGTAGGGCAGGAAAAAAGGGTGAGGGAAGGAAGGAAAGGGAAGGAGGGAGGAAGGGAGGGAAGGAAAAAGAAAAGGAAAAGGGGAAAGGAAAGAGAGAAAGGAAAGAAAAAAGGAACTGAGAGAGACTGAAGACTAACAGGGGAATGGAGTAAATGATCAGCTAAGTGACCATAAGATACAAATAGAAAATATAAGGTTAAAAGCCATCAGGTATAATCAGAATCCACCGAATACTCAATGTTTACAGTTGTTCAAGGTAGACACTTACAATTCTTTTATTTATTTGTTTATTTGTTTGTTTGTTTTTAGAGAGGGAAGGGAAGGAGAAAGAGAGAGAAAGAAAGAAAGAGAGAAAGAGAGAGAGACACACACACACACATCAACGTGTGGTTGCTGGGGGCTGTGGCCTGCAACCCAGGCATGTGCCCTGACTGGGAATTGAACCTGCGACACTTTGGTTCGCAGCCCATGCTCAACCTACTGAGCTATGCCAGCCAGGGCTGACACTTACAATTTTTGATTGCAAATAAGTACAAAGAATGGGACCATATGCATCATAGCCACTACCTTTATGCTTGGGTCTAAGTTTGTGAAAGAAGGAAGGCTTAAGGACTCACAGAACTGAATTCATATATATTTAGAATACCAAAATGTTTTTAAACAAAAGTTGATGATTCTGAATAAGATGAAAATGATTTTGGTTCTCATAGCTCCAACCTCACCTTGAACTGCTGGGTAACATTTTCCTTTTGGTTCCCCGGTAAGCATCTTCCATCTGTTTCTCTAGTTCTCTTATTTTCCACATATCTGATTCCTCCTGAATCTACATTTTTTTAATAGGGAAGAAATTAAAATAAGTTACTAAGAATAACATTTTACATAACAAAAAAGCAACCAAAAATACAATCTTCTCTAATTATTGGATTTTAGATTGAGTTATGATCAAGAGCCTGAGAAACTGCCCTAGCTGGTGTGGCTTAGTGGACTGAATGTCCGCCTGTGAACAAAGAGTCTCCAGTTCAATTCCCACTCAGGGCACATGCCTAGGTTGCTGGCCAAGTCCCCAGCAGGGGGACATGTGAGAGGCAACCACAGAAGGGATATTTCTCTCTCCCTTCTCCTCTCTCTAAAAACAAATAATAAAATCTTAAAAAAAAAAAAGGACCTGAGAAACTAATTCTAGCTTCTCTAATATGATTAAACAATCCAATCCAGTAAATCTCAAATATGTAGAATTCTGCAGCAACAGAACTTTTAAACCCCTTCATAGACACACTTACCTTATCAATTTTGCAATTATGCTGTAATTATCAAATGATAATCCCTTATGTTTCTAAAATGCTTTGTGATTTTAACTGTATCATCTCAACTGAACCTGAAGCAATCTTATGAGGAAAGCCAAGCAGATACCATTATTATAATTTACTGAGAAGAAACAAAAGCTCAGAGGTTTTACCAAAGTCAAAAGGCTTACTTAGTAGGGCCAGGTCTTTAAACTTTTCAGGCTAAGTTTCTTTTCACATTATAATTTTTATTAAAAACAAAGCAAAACAAAAATAAAACATAAGACTTGCTAGAGAATTTCCAGAGAAGCAGATTACAAATGACCAAAAAACAAGAATATGTCTTATATCTAAGCCCTCCTATGATTCTGTGTTAAATCTGTGCTAGATTTATCTTTTTACCCATCACTTTCAAACCTAAGCTCACTATTCAACTAGGGGTGGTTTAATGCAACTGCAGAGGTTGCTTAGGTAACAGTTACACACTTAAAAAATATCAGATGATATGACAGAGATACCATTTATGATCAAACTAGAGTTGTACAGGTCACGAAAGGAAACTAAACAAGGGTCCTTGGCCCTCTTTTCATTATATGTATTCTCCAAGGTGACCTCATCTACTCTCATGGCCTTTTGGGTATATCAATAATACCCAAACCTCTATGTGTAGCCTCAATATTTCTCCTCCAAGTCTGAATTTCCAACTGTGTGGACATCCTATAAGCACCTCACTATCAATATGTTCAAAATCAAATTACATTTCAAATCATACTTGTCTCTTTTCTTTTGTTCCCTATCTTAATAAATAGCATCATCCAGCCATCATTCACACAGCCACACAGGTAGCCACAGGTAGTTTTATGTTTGATTCCATAATTACCATCATCATCCAATCAGTCACCCAGTTTTTTGAATTCTGCCTCCTAAATTCCTCATTTTCATCCCTGCTTTCATGCGAACCCTCCCCAACATCTCTCACCTGGAACATTGCAATTGCCTCCTAATTAGCCTCTCCACTGTTTCACCCTACTTAATCTATCTATCCCCTGCCCAAGTGAACAATCATCTTTCTAAAATTACTAATACAATCAAGTCACACTTGGCTTAAAAATATTTGATAGTTTATTTATCACGTAGAGGAAAAAAAAATCTAATCTTCAAGCATCATAATCCACTCAGGCCTCATCTTCTATTGCTATGCCCTACATTCCTTACTTTCTGGATGCATACAATTTCTCAACATGCCCCAAGTGCTTCATGCATTTTCTTATTGCCATGTTAGTACATGATTTTCTCTCTGTTCATCAACTAGTTCAAATATCAGCGCCTCAAATACCACCCATCCTCTGAAGCCTTTCCTAATTCCCCAAGGCAGATTGCATTATTCCCTCCTCAGTGCACAACATATGTCTCTAATACAGTAATTATCAAATTATTCTGTAATTACCTATTTTATTCATCTTGTATTACCCAACAGTGACAAAATAATGTTTGGCACACTGTAAGCCCTCACTTAGTGTTGAGGAATAACTAGGTTGCACCTCTCACCTTATTGTGAGCATCAGTGTGCCGGATGACATTCCTTAGGAGGACTTTTCCCAGTGGAACCCGGGACATTCTTCAATCTGAAATGAATCAATAAATAACATTTAAAAATAATAATTTCCTTTATCACCTTATCTTTTTTATAACGTTATTTTAAAAAGTATGAGGTAAGGGAAAGATCACTTAAAATTCATAGGTCTTGAGTAATAGTTTTTTCTTCACCATTAAAAGGGAAAGTGCCTGACCACAGAAATGTGAAGATAAAAGGATAGTGTACATTGGAATTCTTAGAAATGACACTATTTTATTTACTCCTCAAAATTATGTTTTATATGAGGCAAGTGTTTTCATTCCTAGTTAGTAGATAAAATTCCCTTAAAGCCATTGTCCCAGGCCAAAGAGTCCAAGACAAACAACGTCCGGATTAGAAATCAATTCTCAAATCCTAATTAGTGTGCGATGACGCAAATATCTGGATTTGAGAGTGTCGGGAACACAAATATCAAAAGTAACAAAAACTGACCCCTAAAATCATCAAATACAGAAATACCCTAAATTTCTCCATTCAGGGGAATTTTATTTTCTATTTTGTATAGACGCCTCCAAAAAATATGACAGGGCTATTCATGTGTGTGTTGCTAGCAGGGGCTTTGTGCAACCACCCCACCGCTCACTCACCCCTCGATCCTGAGGAAATCAGGCATCTTGTTACTGTGAGACGAAGAACCACTCCATTACAAGATCTCCTCCGACCAAGGAAGCCAAGGAGTCAGTGCTCAAAGGCAGCTCTGCAGCTTCACCCGAGTCCTTCATGAAAACGCAGCCTTCCCACCGGTTATTCTGCCCTCACCCGTGCCCCAGGCCACCGCTGCCTTTCCCTCAGCCCAGACCCACCCGCAAAGTATCCGTCGGGACTGAAGCCGGAGGCTGCGCCGGCGAAGAGTCCGGACGCCCGGGTTGGCCGGGGCATTCCCGGCTCAGGCTCCTCTGGAACGGACCCCGGGATTAAGTTTCGTTCCCACTGGGAACGCTTTGGACGAGTACGGCCGTCGACTGGGCCCCAAGAATATCTAAAATGCCTAAAGGAGGGGCTGAGGCTTCCAAGTGGAAGACAGAGAAAATACCCCCATCTCTGTCACCGGAATCCCTGCCCCCCAAGCGGCCAAGAAGCTCTCGGTAGCCTTCCCTCCAAACACCCTCCCCACAGAAATGCACATAAACACTCCCATACCGTGCACCGCAGCCTCGCGTGGCGGGGGTGGGGGGCAGGAAGCGGTCTGGGAGAAAAGGGGGCGCGCTTCCGTTTCAGGCCGGAAGTCGTGCTGCTGAGAAATTCTTCCCACCAACAGGAGACTCAGAGATTTTTACATGGAGGGTTTCCAGGTCACTCAAGAAGTCAACAGGTGCAGAAGGGAGGCGGACGCCTTCCTGGAAAAAAGGTAGGTGGTGCTCAGCAGAGTAAGGACCAGAAGGGGGAGATTCCGGAACCGAATGTAAAAGGACCTTTCTACCGGGAGCTTTCCGGACCCAGTTGCATGAGGTACCTAGCCTGGTTACCCTGGTAACAAGAGTCACGGTTTGTGGAGAAGCCGAAAGGAGAGGTGGGTTCTCAGGCCTTTGGAATGATTGTCCATTAGTTAAGTTTCCCCTTTAGTCTAACCCTAATATAGTATTTGAAGAACTCAAACCTCCTCTTTTCCTCATTCTATGGATGCTCCGGAACAACCTTCAGTAGAGGGGGGGGTGGGTGAGAGGGAACTTATCTTAAAATGTAGAGAAGATATCATCACTTCTCTCACATATTGTTGACCAAGTATTCCAGCCTCTCTGCATTAGCCTACTTAATCCTCACAATAACCCCATGAGATAGGTATTATCGTCTTCATTTGGAGATAATTAACTGAAGCGCATATATAAATCAGTTGCTCAAGATCACGCAGCTAGTAGGTGATAGAGCTAAGATTAGAATCCAGGCATTCTGACTCCAGAGTCCATGTTTTTAACCACTAAGCTATGCCGAGGATTGAGGAAGTCTCATGTAGCCCTCACCACACACACACCTCTGGCGATTTCCAGACCGCACAGGGCACCAGTCAGCTGAAACCCAGGTCCTGGAAAAAGGAAACCACCGGGAAATCCAGACTCAAATGGGTACTCGCCCCCCTCACGGCTTGTGAGGGTGTAGGTAGAGGTAAGGCCTTACTATCTTGAGGACGACTTGAAAATTCAAGAAGGGATAGTAGATAATTCAAGAATAAGGAAAAGATACAGTGGTTCTGATCCACAATCTTTAGACATGTGTTAGGGATAACAGCTAACTTCACCAAAACAATTCCTGACCTGTTCCTCTCCCCACCCTCCAAAAGAAATGAATCAATAGTTACACCGTTATTTTTCCTTAAGTCATGTCTTTCCACAGACTCAAGAGGCCTATTCACCTCAATCATGGAATCGTCCTCAAAGGGTCTGCTCACCCAAGTTAATCAGTTGTGGAACCTCTTAGATGATCTTGCTGAAAGTAACCCCGAGAGCTACAAGAAGTTCATTCAACAGCAGCTGAAAGAGGGCAAACAGCTCTGTGCTGCCCCGGAACCACAACTCTGTCTACAAACAAGAATCCTGGTAGGTAGATGTGGTGCCCAGGGAATTTTTCCTTTTTCCAGCACCTGGGTTTTGGCTGACTGGTGTCCCATGTGGTCTGGAAATTGCCAGAGGTGTGTGTGTGTGATGAGGTCAACATGAGACTCCCTCAATCCTCAGGTCCTGAATGAAAAGACCCTGCAATAACCACAGAATAGCTTACCCCTAGCCATTGCTATTTCAACACAAGAAAACAGGAGGGAAATTGCCACTCTAAGTGGGGAATGAAGTGTATGTAGTGTGGAAGATTGCATCGAAGGAGTGAAAATGGGAAATTAATATTGATATATTTTGGAGATCTCAAAATGAGACTTTTTTCTGTTAGAATGAAATAAAAAGTAACAATGTAATAATTTAATAGAGAATCATAGACTAGGAGAGTTTTCAAATAAAGAGAAGTTATTTAGTTGGGGACGTAAGGAAGTAGTACAAGAGCGTCAAACAAATTTACCTGAAACAACTGCTTAGATAAATTCCCCCTTTCTCCTCCCAGTTACTCTGAGAGTAGCAACTGGATTCTTGATGAAAAGCTTTAGGGAAACAAGGTAACAGTATTTCTCAAGCAGTTTTAATGCATGTAATGACTTACTTGAAGCCTAAAGTTCTTACTATTCAAATTCTGTGATGTGTTACTTTTAGGATATTATTTAAACATAAAAAAACTGGGTTTTAAGATATGCAAAATTATTTGATTTCTAGAAACCAAAAGAAAAAATACTTTTTATCAACTTATGTCAGTGGAAAAGGATTCCAGTTCCACAATCAACCACTCATCCAATACCTCTAAGTGTTGGCAGACCAGAAGATATGTCTGAAACATCAGGTACATAGAAATATGGGACCCAAAGCACATTTTAAAAATTGTATTGGGAATACCATGAACCAGATTTTACTTGATAAAAGACATTACATGTAAACTATTTTATTTGGTTGTAATGTAGTAATTGAGTAAATGTACTTTTATGCAAATTGATTCTGTTTGTCTAATAATATGAGCTGTTTTAAACCCGTATAAAATGCCTACTTGAAATTTTGTGTACATAGATAGCATCATTATGGCTGCCTCTGAACAATATAGGAATAGAATTTATACATTCTAGCTTTATCAGGATGATGACTTAATATATTACTTGACAATATCATTGTGAAACAAGCTGACTTCATTTCATACCCTCTGAATCTCACACGCAGATGTTTACACTGTCATCGATGTTGCCTACAACCCTGATGTTCTCCAGGCAGCAGAGAAGGACCAAGTGAAAAAAGACCAATTAATACAGATGGCCATGAAATGCATTGAGGAACAATTCCAGTTCACTCTCTCACACTTTTACCATATTACTAAATTTAAAATAAAAGGAAGCATTCAAAGGATGAAACAAAATCTAATGAGAATCCAAACTGACCACACAGATTTAAGAGAGAACATGAGAAAGGGTAAGTTAATGAATATAAATGAAAAACTCACTTAAAATTTTTGTATCCTGTGTACATTTTGCAAACTAGAAATCTCAATTTTAGAAGATGAGAAACTTAAAAAAGAAGAAGATTAGATATTAGAAATATTCACATGTCCTTAAAGATTTTTAAATCCTACAAGGTTTAAGTTTCCAAAACTAATTTAGCTGCAGTTTTATCTGCCATCTTGGCTAACACTATATATATATATATATATATATATATATATTGCAGCTTATAGTTTGATAGTAATTTATGTTGATTAATTTTGTGGTTTTTATCCCCCTCTTTATTTCATAAAGAACTAACCCTTGAACAGATAAGAAGTAGTAGTGTGAGCAATCCAGATCACTTCCCTCAACTTTTACTACCAAAAGACCAAGTTTCAGACAAAAAAGGGTGCCTGATAGAAGAGATTTCCAGTACAGAGATCCAGGTAGACATGGAGCGACCAGCCTATGAATTAAAAATTGTGGCGGATCAGAATGAGAAACCACTGAAAATGGAATTAAAAGTTGAATTACCTGGTATTAATTCAGTATCTCTCTGTGACCTTAGTGTTTCTCAGGTGGGTTGAATAGTTTATACTATAAATTTGTATCAGTCAATATTCTGTATATATTATGCTGTAGTAACAAACTCCACAATCTCAGTGGTTTAATAATTTGGTCAGGTTACATGTCAGCTAGGCCTGCTCTTATTGACAAATCTTACACATTTCAAGATACAGGTGAAGAAGCGATTCCCATCTGACATGTCATTTTCCTGGCAGGGAGAAAATAGAAATGGCCAAACCATGCAATGGATCCTAAAACTTCCTCTCATATATGGCATATATCACTTTTACTCACTTTCTATTAGCCAAAGTAAGTCACTAGACCAAGTCCTACATCAATAGGGCAGGGAAAAATATGCTTCTCAAGAGTAGTCACAGCAAGTTGCATGGCAGGGATATATGTATAATCCTCTTATGGAAGATCAAATAATTGGCAATAATCCTCACTCTACCACAGTCCACACTTGGTCACAAATATTTGTACCTTTTCTCAAGGAAGACACTTGCAATTCCATTATCAGACTCCAAAATACAGGATTTTGCCATGATAGTCTACATTCCGCTCCTCTCAAACCAGACCTATCACTGACAAACACAAGTTATCTACTCCTATAACCCCATATACCATACAATATGAAATAGAGAGATGATAACCACAATTAATAGTCTCAATTCAGAAATGGTAAAAATATGAGGTACATAGCAGTTCTGAAATCCTGGTTGACAATATTTTCAGGGTACTGTTCCCTGAATGTAGACTATGTTCTCACTTAGGGCCATGACAGATTTCTTTATTACCGACCCTCCTTGTTCCCATTGTTTTCCACTATTTTCAGTTCCATTCTTTGAGAGGTCACCACCCCCTCCTCCCCACCCCGGCCCCAACTTTCACTATCTACCTTGGCCACATCTAAAGAGAGCATGGGAGGGAGATTATGCCATCCTTAGATGCTGAGCAGTTTACTCAGCCTGTTTCGTGCCCACAATGTTGGGGTCCAAAGATGATTTTACATTAGTTTTAGTCCAGGCTGGCAACATTTTTACTTCATTCCAGTCAGTGCTATACCTAACAGTTTATTTTTAGACATGTCCATTTTTCAGTGACCTGTGTTTTTGACTGAATAGCTATCATCTGAGCCAAATGTAAAGATTTACTGAGGTCTACCTTAACCCAGGTAGAAATTTTAACAAAAGAATAGACTTGTGATTTAGTCTTTGCCTCCAGGCTGTCTTAATCAGTCTTGTTGATATTTGAAAATCTAAATTTTATCTGTTACTGGTTGAAAATAAAAATTAGTTGCATTTTTGTCAAGTCTTAGAATTTCTGATCTCTGCATATTCCAACTCTGTTTGCAAACTGGTAAATTCTAGTCTAAGTTCATCTTTTTGTTGTACCTTGTTAGACGTAGCCAATAAAACCAATGCACGCTACCAACATTTTATTTTCTCACTTCTTTACCTAAAGCCACAAATTAACTAGGTACACAATTTGTCTTCCAAATTATTTATAGTTTTCCTAAGGGTTTTATCATTATGAAACATGGATCACCATCTTTCCAGTCTCCAATAAGTTTCCTTGTTATTTGCTAGCCTGCCCCAAAGTCAATTCACATAATTTGGGATCACAACATCTATCTTCTGGTACTGCTACTAGTAAACTTCTGATGTATTAAGCAGCAATGACAAATAATCTCAAAAGCTCAGGGATTTACAACAGCAACTTTATTGCTCATCGCAAGTCACATGGCAGTAAATTGGGATCCTTTTCTTATGGGAAAGGAGTAACTTGGGAACAGTAATTTAATAGCACTAATTTTAACCAGGAAATACTTTTGTATTTTCATCCTTTAAAATCTTTCTTGGTTTATTATTCTTAGGATGATTTATTGATTGAGGTTTCTGAGAAGTACAGATTACATCTGAATCTTCCAGAATCTGTGAATACTGAAATGACTACAGCAAAATTTATCAAAGAGAAAGCTACATTAATCGTCACAATGCCATTGGTGTAAGTCAAGAGCACTATGTTTTTCAGGTTTTCAGTGATAATGTTATGGGGATTATAGGACCTTCATTATGGGTGAAGAGATATTGATTTATCTTAAGCACTAGTTTCATATTTTCTAAGAATTCCTTTTGATGGAATGAGATTTTCTCATCTACTGTTACCTTAAAAACCAAAAAAACAAAAACTCTCCTCAAATAAATTTGGCACCAAGCAAAAACTACTAAAAATAGTATTGCCTTGATATACTTGTTTTGAAGATATCTGTAATAGTCTTAAGTAACAAATACCACTTGGAAAAATTCTAGTTGTTTCCAAGTAACATGTGAGAATTCTGTTTGCTGGTTGAAAAAACTTTTGTCTCTGGTTATTTTTGAATCAGAAATAAATCCCAGAATGCAAGAAGTTTTTTATTATCAAGATGGGCCACAGTAGTAAAAGTTTCCTCCAGCAATAAAGATACAAAGCCAATATAATAATGCGAACGTATTGCTTCTGTGAACCTCTGTACTTCTATAAAACAGCTCTGGAGGGAGTGCAAGCTACCCAGATAGGCCTTTTAATATTAGATGTGAACCTTTCTGTGGATTGGATACAATGAAGCAATAATAGTACTTAAATATTATTGCACATATGATGCAAAATACATCCAATTCTAACTTAAGAAAAAGGAGTTGACTTGGGGACAAGTGCCTTTCTCCTAGGAAAGTAATTTTTAAAAATATAGAGGTGACATACTTTACAATTCCCATTCACCAAGTTCTCAGTTTAATACAAAGGTATCAACTTTCCAATTTATATCCCAGGTAAGCAATGCTCACATCAAACTACAAATACCCCTTAATTATCTTTTCTACATACAAAACAACTTCCTTGTGATTGGTTTCTAGTTCAACAGTCTTTTTAAAGTTACTAATTTTAAAACTTTTTAACTTTAGAAACTTATATGTATAATAGATATAATTGATACATGACATTTAAAAACATTTTTTATTTAATATTTTACTTATTTTTAGAGAGAAGGGAAGGGAAGGAGAAACATCAATGTGTGAAACATTGATTGGTGGTGACTGATTGCCTCTCACACACCCTCAACTGGGGATCCTGTCCTTAACCCAGGCATGTGCCCTGACTAAAAATAAAACTGGCTGCCCCTCGGTTTTGTAGGACAATGCCCAGTCCACTAAGCCACACCAGTCAGGTCTAAAAACATAATTTTCTTAAACTTCACCTGGATTTGAATCCTTCTAGCAAATAGGATAATTTATCATCTGAAAATGGTCTACAATTTTATGATGTCCTAAAATTAACAAACCTGTTATATTCTCATCCCTCAAAAAACTTGGAGTGCTTTCACATTTTCTTCTGCAAAATCAATCAAAACTGATTTCCTGGTTGAATCTCTCTACTCTTGTACTGTCATCATTAACATAGGTCAGCATCTGTGTATCTGTACATATTGATGAAATGCATATCAAGGTACAACACAATGATTAAATGTTAAATTAATATCCTAATTATTTCCCAAAATATTTTCACTGATATTATTTCAGTGGACTTTATCTTCATAAAACCATCTGTCCTTCCCCCTCCCTACAAAAAGCAAAACTGCCCAGGAGGAACATTAACTTATAATGAACTGTGGAGTAAATTTGAATCTTACAGACATCTTTTGTCCTCAAAACTGGAAATTATTTGAGATTGACATAAATCAACCTTGATTTAGAAACCAGTTTTCCATAAACTTGGTTTTAGATCAGATTATCAGTAATGACAGCTTGGTTTTGAAGGCTAGAGCCACGGGAGTTCTTGTCCCTGGACTGGGTGAGCCAGAGGAGAGGAGCAAGGAAATCTAGGTGCCTAGATAGCTTCCTAGGAAGGCTTTTGGGAATCTGAAGAGATGGACCTGGTGAGTACTTTTAAGTCAAAATGTCGAGTCCGAAAGGTGTTCTAGCTTACTTGGGAAGACTAGGAACTAGATCCTGTAAAAAATTTGAAGAGCCACAGGAAGCACAGGCAGTGGGAAGCGCTCTTGGAAGCAAGATTCATAAACTGAGAAGTCTGTGAGATAAACTGAGGGCTGAAGTGAAACAATGTCAAGCCAGAGGGGTGATTGTTGGCCTGCTTTCCTAGGATGTAAAGGACGTGATTTTGGAATTGGAAAATTTGTGTGTTTTACCTGTGATCTTACTGGATCGATTTCAGTCCTTGATCCTTCATCAAACCTGTACCTGTAGCTATTGTCTTTGTGCTTCCTCCCGACTCTATTGGAATAGCTCAACTATTATCCACATTTCAAGTTCAGTGGGAAGTGAATGCGAAAGCCTAGGATATTACTGTACTGATAAATATTTATCAGGTGATTTGAATGCCAGAATTGTTGCAATAGTCTGCTTGTTGGTTCTCTTCCAGTATTTATACTTCTCCAGTAAATCCTGCACAGCCAAGAAAATGCTTTCATGACACTGCATCATTTCCTTGCTCAAAAACCTTCAATAACCATTCATTGGTTAGGATATAGTCAGCCTTTTTTTTCTCACCTTCCCACCTCTCTTCCATTTCCCTCTTTATTTTTTCCCTCCTTCCCTTCACTTCAATTAAAGTAAAATATATGTAAATATATATGAAGTGCAGAACCTTTTACAAAGTAAACCCACCCTGTACCACACAAATCAAAGCAGAGATTATTATCCTTGCCCTCGAAGTCTCCCTCTTGTATCCTCCTAGTCATTTCCCTCAAGGTAACCAGTCTTTTGATTTGTTATCATACATTGGTTTTACTCGTTTTTGAACTTCCTATGAATGTTAAAAATCTAAAACTCTTGTCTGGCTTCTTTGACTTAATGTTACCTCTGAGATTTCATTGTGTTATTGTGTGTAGTGGTCCTTCTTTTTTATTGCTGTATAGTAATACTATCTTATGAATATTCTGCAATTTATTTACTTATTGGACTGTTGGTGACATTTGGGTTATTGGAACTTTCACTTTGGGACTATTAAGAATGATGCTGCTATGAACATTCTTGTCCCTGTGTTTTTGGTGTAAAAATATACAATTTTCTATTAGGTGTGAATTTGGTAGAATTGTTGCATCACAGGGTATGCATATTAGCTTTAGTAAATAATGCTAAACAGTTTTGGAAAGTGATTGAGCCAGTTTTATGTTCCCAGTAAGTTTATATGATCTCCATTGTTTTGCATCTTTATTGTCTGTTTAAATCTGACATGCTGATGGCAGTGTAATAGTATCTCATTGTGGATTAATTTTGCATTTGCCTAATAAGGGATGATGTTAAGTAGCTATATTGAACTCTTCAAAGTCTTATGTTATAAAGTATGCTTCTCAAGGCTTTTGCAAAAATTTTATTGGGTTCTCTTAATAAACTGTAGAATTCTCACATATTTTGGATATGAGTTCTTTGTTGTGTATATCTATTATAAATCTTATATACTCTGGCTTGCCTTTTCACTCTCTGATGGTGTCTTGTGATGAAAACAGGTCTTTGTTTTAATGAAGTTTGATTTAGGAATCTAATTTTATACTTACCATTCGTTTCCATTTAATAAATCTTTCTCTAACTTAAAAAAACAACAACAAAGAGCTCTGGCTGGTGTGGCTCAGTGGATGAAATGTCGGCCTGCAAACCAAAGAGTCACTGGTTCAATCCCCAGTCAAGGCACATGCCTGGGTTGCAGGCCAGGTCCCTGGTTGGGGGCACTCTCGAGAGGCAACCAATTGATGTTTCTCTTGCACATCAAAGTTTCTCTCCCTATCTTTCTCTCTCCTTTCCCCTTCTCTCTAAAAACAAATAAATAAAATATTTTAAAAAATTATCAGTGATTTTCCCATGTATTCTAGAACTTCTTCACTACTGGGTGATGCATATTCCTTGCAACATGTTTCCTTTCATGCCTTGCACTGGTCAACCCTCTTGTAGACCATGACTCGAGATACTATAACTACATTCACAAACCTCAGGATTAGAGTAAAATACCTAACACAGCCAGATCACACTTTCATCTTGCTATGTGCCATACTCCAACATCAGGTGCTTCAGTAACTCCTTGAATTTAAAGTGTTTAAATTATATGCTTGAGAACTCAGTCCTGATTTTATCAATTCTATAAACTCAAAATGTTTCTGTATTAAGAGTTTAAACAGATTAATGAGCTGTTCCTGCTCTTAATCATTTAATATGAAAATTAATTGCTGACAGGTCGATAATTAGACCAGACATAAAACAATCTAATTTGAACCAAACCATCATTTCTAGGTTTTACTCTCAATTCTGGTAAGATAAATAGACTGAATCCAGATTTAGATTGTAGGTCAGATTAATTTTTAAATCAGAACAATTTCTATTAGAAGGTAACTTTTTATTTTTCTTTCAAGGGAACAAAAGAGCCATAAACATTAGTAAAGAATGAATTATCTCTAAAGTTTCCTGTATTTGAACCAGATGTGGCTCATACTGATGATGGTCCCTTGTGATAAGCTTGTTCCTTCTGCATAATCTTCAGTTCAAGCTATAATTACCAATTACTGTACTGATGTTTTCATAACAGTACAAGAGAAATATTTATGGAATATATGGAGTGTCACTTGTGTACCATGTAATAATAAACATTTAGAAAATAAATTCAACAATGAAAGTTCTAAATTTCAGGGTACAGCTTCATATATTACATACAAGGAAGCACTAGTCAGATTAACTTTAAATAGTCAAACAAATTCATATATTTATTAAAGCACATCAATAGAAAGTCTTGGAATTGTGATAACATTCCAATTCATTTTCATTATCTTGAATATCACCCCCTTCCCCATCAGCAGAAGAAAGGCAAAATGGAAAAAAATATTTAGGCTGCAAAAGTAGTATGCTACCTAAATAATTTTTTTCTCTCCAATAGGATTTTTGGACTTTTTTATTTTATTTTACAAATCAACACTGTGGTGGGAAAACACAGGACACTTTTTAAAATACACATTTAGCAATTTTTACTTTATGCAAGAAGAAATGACCATTTTGTTTTGGTCGTTATTTTTTAGTACTCTAAACTCTTCACTAATGCATCATGTCTCCCCCTCTTCTTTTCAGACAGAACTTGTTGATAAATGTATGGACTTTGGCACATATCTTGCTAGAAACCATATTTTACGTATGTACATTTATTCCACTGTTACTTGATACAGTTTTCCAAAGTTATTTGAGTAGTAAATTC